TTTGTTGAAATGGGCATGAAAGCGCGTAACCGTCACTTTTTTGAAGTTCTACTTAGAAGTGAAGTGTTTACAGTAAAAAGTCGTTAATTATTTATTTTTTTTCCGTTCCACTACAAAGCTCGATTCACTTAAATTTTTGTTTTTATATCGTCTCTACAGCGCTTTTACTTCGGTACTTTCGTGTTAGAGGACATCACATAATGTGCGAAAAAAAACAACAAGAAAACAACCATTCTGATGTTAGCCTGAGACTGAGGCAGGAAAAGACGAAGTTTCAAAGTAGAAGAAAAAGGAACAAAAAAACGGTAGGATCGATGCTGCATAGCCTTTTTTTTGTGGACATCAAGAAAAAAAAAAAGATAGTAGTTGTCTTCACTTCGCACTGCATGTTTTAGCACGGAAGTTCCTATTTGGTTATGATGTCTTTACTTTCTTAAAAATTGTATACAGTAATTTAAATTACCGAATTACAAAAACGTTGAAATTGTATAATTGCTTTTCATTGGGACGCCATGACGACAGCGACACTCGTGTTCCCTCGTGGTTTTCGCCAGCATTTCTACGATGAAGTGCCAGGATCGCGAGATGCAACAGCGTGACACTCCGTCTTCTGTACCGTCATTTGTTGCACTTCGGGACCACTTTTGATGTATGGCCAGCATACGACGCTAAACACACCAGTCGGAGACGCGGTGCAGGCGCCATAGTACTGCTCCTAAAAGCAGCTGTCACGTGCTTTGCTCCGCGACTGTGATTCCCTCACAGCAGCTCTGACTGAGGGTTGCCAAATTACGGTGAAACGGAGTATAGACAAAACAGACCGGAGACGAGCTGCCAGCATACGATAATCAAACTCCAACAAAAAGGATTAGTTTCTTCTCAAGCTGGACGACATTTACCGGGCATCTTTAGATGCTGCGAAGCTCAAAATCACGCGTACTCATAAGATTTTTTTTTTCTCGCGTATTTGTGATTTTTATGATGTCCTGCAAGCAAGAAAAAAATATATATGGTGAAGTCACTCCGAGGGGGTACCGATAACTGCGAGCCACGAACATGAAGGATTCGCTAACATCCGTCAGGAGTGTGAACGGTAAATCGTCACGCAAACATATTCTCACAAGCTGCAAATATTTATTTGGCTTAGCAAGTAGAATACTAGTATACTAACGACATGTGATTATTGTACACAAAATACCATTTCTCGGTTCTTCAAAACCATTTCCCTAGTCTGAACGGTCGCGCTACGGGCCGCGGCTAGCCGTGCCCTCGATAGACTACGGAGCTGCGTTGTGTCGTCTGCTACTGTACCGCCAACAGGAGAGCGATAGCTTCGTGTGCTCCACAGATGCGTGTTGCGGTATAACTCTGTACGTCTGTCCTAGAGGAAGACAAAAAGATAGGCTCTGTGACCCCCTCCTAAGCTAACAAAAACAAACAGAAGTATACTCGTTTGGACTGAAAGGTTTACAAAATAGTGACCAGACATTGGAAAAGCATATGTCACAGAACTTGGTTTATGAAATGGCATCATTGTTTCGAGCAAGAAATCACCTGCTCACCACTGGGACGATGAAATCGTCACTATTTATTGCGTCAGGTATATTTGCGCTCATGAAGAAAAATCTGAACACATCCTTCTCCCAAAGTCCTATGTCGAATAATAAACACTTCTTTACACATCTATGCACAAATAACTCATTTTTTTCTACACTTGTATATACACGTTAATTAAACGACGTCAAACCGCATTTTTGATTAGATCTTGATGTCTACACCAACTACATTCATATTTTATAGGGCTTTATTGAACGATAACTTCAACTATAGTTAATGGAACACGATGGCTCGATCTCAACAAAAACCTCAACGTGCGAAGCTTCCAGAGACGGTCGCTTGCGAGTATTCTCAATGTGAGACTTCAGAAGCTTTCGCTTGCCATAGGGAGCTTGCTTTCGACTGCAGCACTGCACGGGCCCGGAAAGCGCGGAGCGCGCTGCTATGGGGAGAGGTTGACTTACAAGATGACTTGTTACGTGGTCACGTAAGATGGCGTCATTTCGTGCAGCGTGATTACGTAAGATGACGTCATTTCGTGTAACGAGATCATGTAAGATGACGTGTTTGTGTCACGTGATCACGTAAGATGACGTCAGTTCGTATGAACTGACGTCATCTTACGACAACGCCAACAACATTAGTGCCGTCCGGAACCATTGACCTCAGAAACGCGCCTCTTCGCTTGAAGAGCTGATATGCGTTGATTGTTATTTGTTTCTTTTGCCTACTACAGACCATTCAAAAACTCGCCTTCTGGGTGCCACCAACTTCGTCTACTGGGCTGTGAAGCGCGTTCGAGCGTGCGCAATACCTCTCTAGGCCGAAAGATTGTACACTGAGTATGCGTTCACAGCTCAATGACTTAGGCATTTTTCGTCAGGATAGATGCTCCCACGAGAAGAGCGTAATGGATATGTGAATAGAATTGGAAATTTGAAATGTTCTTGTCCAATCGCATTTTTCTTTGGTTATCAATGCTTTTTAGCGTCATCACAAGACGTTCAACCCATAATACACTGGTGATTAAAAAATAAGCACCGAAAAACATGCACCGATTTTCGCTCAAAAATAAACACCGGAAAAAATATACCGTAATCATTACCCATGTCACCTTTTTGGGTGATATGTGAATTTCCAGAAGAACAGCGAGTTATCACCCTCCCCTAGGAATACCCTGACTACAGAGCAGGCGACCCGTTTTTCCCCGCGTTAGATTGCGGTGACCACGAACCGTACGGAGGTTACAGGACGTCCGTGAAAAATAAAAAGGAGGCAAACAACTATCTACTCTGTGCACGCTTCATCCCCGATTTCCACGACCCCAAGGCCGAAGGACGTTTGTGTGAAGGATAACGATAAAATAAAACTTTGCGTCAAAAAAAAAAAAAAAGCCCGTTTTTAAAAGAAAAAAAAAGTAGAAACAAGCACAACGCGTTGACGGACCGCGAGGTTGTGGAACACCTCGCGGTCCGCTTGCCACAGGACGGTTGTCTTCGACCCATAGCTCCAAGGTGAATTTGCCACTTGCGAAAACAGGGAGACCTACCCAGCGAGAACCAGGAAAGCAAGACACGCACACTGACGCCTCGGCGTGCAGAATGAAACAGGATACGGGCGCGGAATACGGCCGCGGAAGAACACCTCGCACAGTGCCGATCCGGCCGATCTCCGAACGGACGATTTCGCATTTCGTGGACAGCGAGCGCCACCGCACGGGAGAGAGAGGTACCTTAAAAACGACGAAAACAAGCACCGACACCTTGGTTCTTTATATTTGCTGTAGTTACGGAACAAAACGACTTACATGAATAATTTGAATAATATTCGATTCCGTAATAAATTTAGAAGACAGTAAGCGCAATAGTTCTTATGTTTGAATTTAGATAAGTTTGTAAATTCGCTCCGAACGCAAGAGTGCCGAATTAGCCGATTTTGACCATTTTCATGATTTTTTAAAGAATATAATTAAATTTATGATGAAACATTTGTTGCGATTAGTGTCTCGATAATGACTCAATGTCTTTAAAGCCGAAATTTTCAAGAAGATCCGCGCAGCCGTTATTATGTGAGAATTTTTTTAATTCGGTGAAAAACCTCATGTATTCTCTATGGGGCTCTGAGGTGCGCCCCCTCTTAAACTTTGCATGCATTGGCTCAACGTTTATAGACGAGAGGGCGCTGCGGTCAAATGCTCAGATCCGTATATAACCGTATAAAACGAACGAAAAGCTCGGCATGCTGCGGCTCAGCGTCTACGCAGACAAGCACCACCAGAGGTTCGCCCCAATCAACATCATTCACCACTTGGAAATGCAGTCAGTTCTTTCCTCCTAGGCAATAGCAGTCAGCAAATAAATTCGAAAAATATTAGCGTCGTTCTTCCCCTTTAACTCGGAGCCAGAACAAGCGGCCACGTGGCCTGGTGCCTATCCTATGCCACCAATGTTAATCATAGCCACGTGCAGGGGTCAACAAAATAGAAAACATGTGCTGAGCTCCAGGCATTGTTAGAGTTTGGCTATTCTCATCACTGCAGTGGTTGGACACGAATCACAACCCGAGTGTCCGCCGAGGCAGTGGTTGTTACGAGCCGAAGTTGAGTGTTCACACAGTTCCTGTGTTCCATTCATGAAAGGCCCCGACTGTTGTCAGGCGGGTGGTTTCGACCCCACAATTATGACATCAAGCTTTGCGAAGGCAAGACTCAAAGAAACAGTCCCCTATTTTCCTCGCAATTTCACCGCAATCTAGAAGCTTCTGAATCAGTGGTGGTCTGTGAGAGTATACTTGAGCCAGACTAGGACTAGTATGCCTCCGCATAGTCATGAACATTCCAACCCGGTATTGTTTCATGACCCCTTTAACGTCCCACTCTGGGAATTTCCCTTTGGCACTCTTATGAACTGCGGCGAAACAAGATAAACAACATTGCGAATGCTTACTTTGCGGTTGCAGCTTAGCTGCAGTACACAAGAGAGCGGTGAGAAGCACGCTCAACAAAGCTGACTTGCATGACAGAGCAGACTAGGAACATGGGAGATATTGCGAAAATTCCGTGTACTGCCCGTTTTTGACACTGAGGAGAGTGTGTTATTTGTGGCTAAAATAAAAAGTTTTAAAAATTTGCGCAAGCCTACAATCCGGACGTGTAGTGGGGCCAGATTCATCATATTTTTAGTATTATTAAGGTGAAATCTAAGTTTTGGTGCAATGTCGATGCAAGTTCCTCACACTTGGGCTAAATATAGCAGGATTTATCCTCTAATAAGCTGCTGCCCCCCCCCCCCCCCCCCCAAAAAAAAACACACTCGAGGCGCTTAGATTTCTGGTAAAAAAAAGGAACACGTTCCTGTTTGTGTAGAGTGTTCCTACTCTTTTTTCCTAATTGTTGTGCAAACTTCTTCGTTGGCCCTTTATAGGTGTTGTGGACTGTTGCTCACGTGGGTCGTGCATGAGGATCCCGTGGGAGGTGCGCTTGTGCATGGCCAGGGTGGAGGTCTGCCGGTAGTTCTTGCCGCACAGGCTGCACAGGTAGGGCTTGCTGTGTGTGTGCACCACGTGGTGCTTGTACAGCGACGAGTACTCCGTGAACCGCTTGCCGCACGACGACACCAGGCACACGTACGGCTTTTCACCTGAAAGAGGCCAGAACGTCCAAAGGGTCACTCTCGGTGTTCTCAAAATGGCTCACCTTCTTCAATAGCTGTCGCAGCGTTTCACAATACAGTCGAACCCAGATATATTGAATTCAAAGGGGTTCGTAAACAAGGTGTCTAGCAAATTATTATTTTGAAATTCCCCGACTTGTCCAGGTTTTTACCCGGCAATTTTAGGTAAAATTCCCTGACCACTATAGAGGTAGTTAAATATATCGGAGCATTACAACATAAGCCATTGAGCCCAATCCCACTTGCATATTCTGAATTATTCGGGTTCGTCCAGTCCGGATTAAACGAGCACTTCCTTGCCACCGACATCGTCAGTGAAGAGGCCACTTCCGGGAACACAATGAAAACCCGACGCTCAACCACACACGTCAATAACCAAATGGCAGCATGGCCACCAGATGCACACTTTCAAATACTTTCGGCTTAATGCTTGGACTGGGGTCTGCGGCCTTTCTCATTTGTTACTGAATCTAGTAGATCTAACTGGATCTTGCCCAAAGTCGTGCCCTCAATCCAATCCAGTCCAAGGCTTGGATTGAATGTGTCGGCTGTTCCCTTTGCATCGGGTAGCCCACTCTACATCAGGTGAGGAGAGCTCGCGTTCCGCTATAAGCAGAATTTATTGTCTAATTTTCTGCCCCCAAATCCCCAAGTCTTTGCTCAGGGCACTCGATGGCGTTTCCGGCTCGTTTTCCCTGACTGGGCTCGCCTTTTTACAATATTTCTGAGAATTCCCTGATTTTTCCTGGTAATTGAAATTTCCCTGACAATTGCCGGTTTTCCTGGTCGCTAGACACCCTGGTAAAGTGGTTCGATATATATCAATGATTTGATATACAAAAATATGTTAAATTAAGCTCGAGTTGATATTTCCTGGCGTCTCTGCTAATACCGAAGGTTGCGACAAACGGGAGCTTACCAAATAGAACATCCAAGAGCCGCCAAATAAAGTAGAGTGTAGTTGGCAGAGACCGCAAACATTGCTGCACTTACAAGCGCGCCTGGCCAGGACTTCCACCAGCATAAGCAACAAGACACGAAAATAATAATAAAAAATATGAACGACAAACGGAAAAGCAAGACTCATAAAAAAATATCTTTATTCAAAAAAGAAAGCTCGCTAAATTCAAGCAGCAAAAAAAGAAAGGCAAAAAAAAAAAAACGGGCAATGCAATAACGGCAAAAGAAAAAGGTTAAACAAAGATAAGGAGTTCAAAGTGGATGGCACAGCCGTTGTTGTCCACACGCTCGACTTGCCAAAAACTTTTGTTGTTTTTTCTTTTTTGCTTATTTTATATTGGGGTTAGAGAGTCACGCAGCATCAGCAGTGTACGGGGAAAGGGCGCAGACTATTGTTCCTGTTCCGACGGGGGGTACTCCCTACCCTCTCTACAAGCACGCATGCCCTTTCCCTTGCTTTTGCCATGCTCCAGTTTTTTTTGTTTTTTTTTTAAGGTTCATTGTCTTTCTTCTTGTCCGACTGCTCTTTCACTGCCCGGCGTGTATGCTGGCTTGGCAGTATGCCAGCCAAGCAACGCAAGCGAAGTGCTCACCACCGGCGCAATCGGATAACGGGAAAAGCAACGGGTGGCCGGGCTTCGTTCGCTGTTTGCTATATCGAGTGCCCTCGCCATCGGAGTTGGATACAAAAAGACAACGCTCCTATACTATTACATGTGATTTTCAAGGGGATGTTTGGACTGTTCGATATAAACAATAATCCGAAATACATCAGTGTTATATAACCGGGCTCGACAGTAGACCTTTTGGTCTACTGTCGAGCGCCATCTGGCAGATTCTCAGCGAACTACAAACAAAGGGCACGTCATTGTGCCTCAGCCTGTGAGAACACAATGGCATTGTGCTGTTGTACTAATTTTCACAACACACCCCACACACAAAAAAAAAAAAAAAAAAAAATGTTTGAAAAGATTTAATATGAGCGACGATAGGTGCTGACAACCTTGGTCGTGCACGGCAGCGTGCTTCAAAAATGGTGACAGCGGGAAGAAACGGTCGGGGAAGAGGGCGTACGCACGCACCAAAGGCTTACTACGAAAACTTTCAGCCTTTCCACACTGATGAAGAAGAAAGACCAGCAAAGCTGTACTATGGTGGGACGACCTCAAGGATGACTTCTTGGACGACCTCGAGGACGACGCCTAGGACGTCTAGGACGACCTCTCAGACGACCTCGAGGACGACACCTAGGCGACGTCTAGGACAACCTCAAGGACGATGCCCAAGACGACCTCAGGGAAGGCGTTTAGGACGACCTCAAGGAAGACTTCTAGGAAGACTTCTAGGACGACCTCGAAGACAACACCTAGGACGACCTCAAGGACGACTTCTATGACGACCTCAAGGACGACCTTGAGGACGACGTCTAGGACGAACTCAAGGATGACTTCTAGGACGACCTCGAGGACAACCTCGAGGACGACCTCAAAGATGACCTCAAGGAAGACGTCTAGGACGACCTCAAGGACGACTTCTAGGATGACGTCTAGAGAAATTCAGCCTTTCCTCTCTGGTGAAAACCAGAGTGGAAAGGCTGGAAAGGCGGCCGCCATCTATGAGTGACGGCGGCAACCAGACAACGGTTGCCGCCGGCGCTCATAGATGGTGGCAGGTGTCAAGTTTTGTGTCGACATTTCTTTACGGGGGACAGAATCCTGGGGAAACTAGACCTTAACAGCTCCGCTGTAAAAAGGTTCATTACCCAAGGACCAAGAAGCATACCGCGAGTTACACGCTGTGACTATCTGGGTCTTTATCGGGGTACTGAACCGGGTTGGTTCAGGTTCGGGTTAGGTAGCTCTACATTTTGTCCGGTTCGGTTGTGGCTCGGTGATATGTGTGAAATATTCGTTTGGTTTCCAGTTTCACCGAGAGCAAAATGGTCCACAAACCGGTTCTTAAACCTACGTTAAACCGCAGCCGCCCACGCATTTCCTGCGCTAAACAAAAAGCTCACAGCTCTGTCGTTAAGGGATTTTGTGTAATTTTTTGACTTACCCAAACTTGACACATGTTTAAAATACCCTCTTTCCAGCATGCTATTTATTACTTCTACATTCAAAATACCTATTAAGAAAATGTCGACTAAAGTTGATGCCAAAACCTAAACTCAAAATTTTCGGCAACTCTAGTCGGGTTATGTCACCCATCGTATAACTTGCAAGTTGAGCAGGCTGTCTATATAACGGTATTTTGCGTGCCTCTTGTCGTTTCGCTGGTGTGAGCTTCCCCAGCATTAATTTAACACTGTAAAACTTGTAAACCGTCGGGAACAACCTATCCTGTCCCCATAATACATCATCTGACATCACATTTTCAGTGTTGCCAGTGGAGTCTATCAGCACCTCTCAGGTCAAATGTTAACCTTCAAAAACATTGTAAAGAAAAAGTGGTTCTTTTTTTGTTTGTTTGACTATGTTCATAAATACCAGGGAGCACGGAATGTGTGCCACACACACGCGTGGGGCACTGTCACAAACCACACACACTATCTGATTTGTGCTAGTTTTTTCAATGGTGCATTGTAGAAATTAGGGTACGACCAAGTGAACGAGTGCGCCGCACATGCACTATGCGTGCGATGCGATACAGAGCGTGCGATGCATGATGCAATGTGACGCGCAACGTCACCGAGGCGAGCGGTCAGACGATACGACGTAGCACCGCTCTCGCCGGCACGTTTTGTCAGGAGCCCCGTCCTTCCAGACCACCCCTGCTACGCAGCTTAGTGGCTACGGTTTCAAACTGCCACTGCGCGGATGCAGGCTCGAGCCCCACCGGGGCTGGAACTTTATACATAAACTTTACGTATCACCTTAACATCGTGTAATGTTCCTCGCACAAGGTTTGTACAGAAATGCTTGATGCAAAATTTAAGAGCTTTTGGAGGATTTCAAGGGCATCAGAAGACATAATTCGTGACAAAACAAAGCAAACATAACGATGACATGCGACGCCTTTGATTCAATAGCACTTTTTAAAACGGGTGCGTGGTCAGTGATGTGATTGGCCAAAGCCATTTTGGAGCACCTTATGGAGCAGCCAAAACAGTATTTTGGAGCAGCAAATCTGGCCTTTGGAGCAACCAAAACAGTGTTTTGGAGCAGCAAAAGTGGCTTTTGGAGCAGCCAAGACAGTGCTTCGGAGCAGCAACAGTGGCTTTTGGAGCAGATATTTTTAGAAAAATAAAAATACTCGTTTTAATTGCTGTATAAACGAAGAACACTTCATGTTGTGTTGTGTACAGATGCGACGTGTTGTGACGGAACTCGCTGCTTGTGTTTTTACTGCTGAGACATCTCACAGGTGTACAGTGCTGTAGGCATTGCCGAGCAATTCCGAAAAACCGCTTGCCACCGTTTTACTGGTTCCCAACGTGCAAGATTTTCGTCAAAGTAAGCAAACATAAAACAATGGACTGCAAGCGTCCCGGCTGGTGTTTCTTTCGTGAAACCATGTTTGCATGCACGTAAGGGCAACTTCGGCAGGCTTGCAGTTGCGCGTGCTTCGACGCGCAAGCTGAGACAACGGCTGTTCGATCGAAACCTGAACCATGCCATTCCGCTTCGTCGCCAACTGATTGCCAAAATTGTACGGAAAATGTAATTGTCGAGCATACGACAAAAACAGTCCGGCGGCGCGTGCATGCCAGGCTGGCAAACAAGGTACAAGCTAAACACACACAAAAAAGAACCTGAGCGCATCTATGCAAGACATCGCGAGCCAAGGACAAAAAGTTGTTGGAACGCTTTGTGCAACGGCTGAAGCCGGGAGCAACAAGCGCGCTGTGCGGGTTCAACGTCCAGACACTGCCCTCTTTGCTTTAGCTTACTTCTCTTCACCAACTTTCTTCTCCGGCAGATTTTTCACGTAACGGGGTCCCTCGAGATAAAGCCCACTGAGAGAAATTTAGGTAATCAATACTTCGACACAGCAGTCTTTAAGTC